CCCCCCCACCAGTCGTTGAAAAGTATCCTAAAGTTAAAAAGACAATCGAAAATCACCCAAATGACGTAATGGAGTTGAAAATATGTCTGACTTTCCTCTAATAATTAACCAATTAAATCAAATATTTGGCATAAGACGCAATGATTATAAGTGGTATGCTTTTGCCAATATTTCTGCTCATCAAAATATTTACGTAATTGCAGTTGTCGTAAATGTCAAATTCTTGACAATGCCAATATGACGATATCGATTGTTTCCTTGGCAATATTTATCGAATTGTACAATTAAAGTTTTAACATTTTCCTCAGATCCCAATCACAAAAGAGGTCTTCTCGTCGGAAAAACATGTAGCCATAATTGGACATTGCTTTGGTAACGAGACGAGACTAGATCAATGCAAACACTATGTGGACAAAAATGGGGTCAAATGCAAATCAAATAAGGCTGTTGCTGTGTCGTGTCAAAGTGGTGAGTCCTAAATGATAATCAGGCGTACACTTTACTATCATCATGACAGTCGAAATAACTAATTGCTGCTTTGTTAAGTCCATTGTCCGCCAAAGTTCCCTCAGGTCGGTATCGACAGCACATAAATGGAATAAAGGAAGGTATTCTGGAGGCGTTTCTATGAAAAACTGGTCTTTTACTAACAACTTCCCTTCCTCTTTCTTAGCCTTAAGTCATCAGTACGTTTAGGGTTTTGCATTGGTGAACTCTGGTCTCGAGACATCCACCCTGAAAGTCGAGCACATTGACCACCGCTTTAATCCCCTGTTTGTCGAGTGTTCTACCTAGGCAGAGAGCGTTCAGGAGACCATCTCTCGGGTGATTAAATACAAAGTGCGCACAGGTATTTTTATCAACGAATATCAAAAGAGATCACATCATCACTAGCATTAGCAGACTATACTAACAGCAGATAAGTCCCTCCATGACGAAAACAGCACGTCCTTATATGGTACCAAAAGCAGTCAGATTTTAATAACTGTGCCCTAAATAGTTGGATAGAATAGAAGAATTTGAATAATCTAACTTTTAAATATAGTTACCTTTTTTTACTCACAACGGGAATTCACTTGACTTCGAACAGGAGCCTAGTCTTTTCTGGATCGAAGTTACACCGTCTGCGTGTAGGCGCGGTTCTGGGCCGTAGTTACGTCAAATTCTTCAATAACAAAAGTCTTTGTGGTTGTGTTTGTGTGGAGGGTTTTTTTGCTTACTTTAATGTTAAAGAAATTAAATTGTAATTTATTAGTTATTTTTGAGATTTCTCGTATTTTTTACCTATCTCTTCCAATCCCCCCCCCCCTCAACCCATCTATTTCATATTTAAAGATGTTTCTATCTTTTGCGCCATTGTAGATCTACCAGACCTGACGTCAGATATTGATGCCTTGATGAGCTCTGTGCATATTCAGAGACTACGTCTTTGGCACCTGACTTGCGCTCTTGAGGAACACTGTTTCCCAGACAGTGTTTACACTTATATAGCCAATAATCCATGTAAGTTAAAATACGCTTAATTTTTATTGGTTGTCTTCGCTTGGGGGAGGGGGGGGGGGATTTGAAGAAGTGTTAACTCATTGCCTGCCGAATTTCAAAATTTCGTACAATCGAGTTCATTTAACTCACTATGATTTGTGATAACCAATAAAAATTTTTTACTAGCAAAATTAGAATGAGATTAGATTATTCGAAGCAAAGAGGGACATGTTTTTATATGCTTTCATGCTTTTCGTATGACTCTGTCTTTAAAAATCAGATTTAATTAGCTTAATGATGGCGGGTGGTGTGCTGGTTGTAGTATTAAAACTCCAAGACATAGTTTTATGCATTTAATCATCGTCGGCAATCAACTGAAATCGAAGTGAGCATAGTGAAGGGATTAACAAGATTCCAAGAAAACAATCCTCTTGCTTCCTTTGATTAATTTTAATTCGCCATGTTCAATATTGGCTTAATGCTTCAACGCACAAAATCCGAATTCCCCTTTTCTCCTTTATCACATTCCCCCCCCCCCCCCACACCCAATCCGGAATTACTGGACGATTTCTTATCACAATAATATCCGGTGCTAATTGACCAATCAGCACATCGGAATAATTGGCGTAACCCCTTCAAATCATTTTCTGCCAACGAAAACTCATGAAGATTTATAATCCTATGTATCATGTTATGCAGTTTGCACGATCTCAATATATACATATTTATTTATTTATTTCAAATGCCAGGCGTTTTGATAGATATCATTAGCCATTTAGCTGACTTCGGGCTTCACAGAGGGAAGGTTAATCAGAGTAGCAGAAAGTCGAGGGGTGGGGAACAGAAGAGCGATTCACAGATGTAAAAGAGGCAGACAGACACAAAGGTAGAGAAAAAGGTACGGTGAGTACTGTGAAAGGGGTCGAATATGACAACCAGGGGGGTCGTGGTAGTTTGAAGTCAGAAGTCAAATGCCTGTTAATAGACTTTTTTGCCGTATGAGTATACGTTGCCCATGGTGCACCACATGGAGGTAAGTCTATCGCACACCCCATTTATATATACCATATATGCTATTGTGCATTATTAACACTATAATTACATCGACTTAAAGCCAACTATTATTGGGATTCCCGGACATTGATTCGATTTTCGTCAATTACAAAGAACATCGGAACAGCGCCTTTCCTGCCTGCTCTAATACCCGAACATTGGGAGTGGCACCCATGTCACAGGTGAGTCATGCTTCTCTTATCGCAGCTAAACAGAAATAACTGTACATACATATATAGAGAAGACATTGTACAAATAAGCCTTTTCCCATACCTTAACAATCCTTTCTGGCAAAATTCTCCATTACAAAAAATTCCTCCTCAAAGTTGTGAGAACACAGATCGCATTGAATGAAAGGCGTTATCGGCATACATTGTGGTGATCTCACCACATGCTTAAGCAGTAAATAAAAACCATGGTGCATAAATTCAATTACTGGTTGGTTTGAGAGGGCTTCTACAGGCTTTCTGCACTTTCCGGAATGTCATTTTTAGGTTTCTCAATCCAGGATTAGACATCTCTTAAGTTTGAGTATATATGTGAGAAAAGAACTAAACTTCTCAATTTTGTTAGCAACCTAGAAGGTTGAAAAAATCTGGAAATTAAGTGGAAAATAGCGAAAAAGACATAATTACTGGAAGAATTAGCAATCCCATTTCTTGAGACACCGCCAAATTTGCACATTCATCATTTACAACTTTTGAGTTATTATTATTATTATTATTTACTAAAAATAGACAATTGATGCAAATGGCAGCGTTGGTAAAAGCTTAGTGTCCTTTCACCTTTCCCTAATCAATTTGAAATTTCGCGATTGTCTTCTGAAGAATCATTTTTTCTGTTCACTTTTAGCCACTATCACAGTATGAAGGTGTTTGGTCGATATGAAGTTATTGATGTGATGGAACGACTGGTCTCCTATGGACACAAAGCAAGTTTCTGTCTGGAAGACAATCGCTGCGATGCCAATGCCACCAAACACTTCACATGCAGCAACGTCATGGACACAAAAGGCAAACAAGGTGAGTACCCTAGAGGCGGGAGGGGGGGGGGTCAAATCAGTGATGAAATTAATGCCACTTCCGATCATTTCTCTGATGCATGTAGGTATTAGTCCCGGATGTCAAGATGAATATTTCTTCAACTACGATTGTCAGTGGGTCGATATCACGGACCTTCCAGTTGGTGATTACACTTATCAAGTAGGTATATTTTTACAAAAGAAGTAATTAAAATAAATTGTAAAAATGTAGATTAAAATTTCATTTGAATAATTAGCATTCAAGTGTTGCTACTCATTTTGACTTCGGTAATATTGTTTATTTCACTTAGGAAAATACAATATTATTTATTTCTGGTACAAGAGTTTCTGCTATCAACAAACTTATTAAACAAAAATTTCGTACCATAATGATAGTTTCAGTTGATCCGGTATTCTTATTTGAGAACCATTGGCTCTGAGGACATATATTTTTCAGATTGATTTAATGAAGACTTTATTTCTTTTACATTTACTTTTAATGTAAAATCGTTATTCATAGGTAACTTACAATCCGGATTACCTAGTGCCTGAAAGCAACTACTTCAATAACGCTGTCACTTGCAAAATGCAGTACCGCGGGAATTGGGGTCGCTTCTACGACTGCAAGATGGTGCATCCGTTTGAACTGCTGTAATTCCTCGTGAAATTGATTATCTCATCCAAAAACTTAACGCCAATTTGCGCAAATCTAATTACACTTGAAATAAACTCAACTTTCAAATATAATTTCTACTGCTTTTATTTCAGTAAAGTAGCTTATTATCTTAGATCTTTAATCGTATGGAAATAAGTCTTAATCGTTATTAAAATGAATAATGTGAGCATTCAGTCTAAATAGAAGTCCGAATTAAGATGTATTTTTTGAGGATTTCATCTGTAGTAATTCAGGAGTATCGTAATTAGTACTCACAGTCACAAACAAAATCACTTAAAGTGTCTAGAGTCATTGAGAAGTTGCCAATTTACTTTTAAATCAGGAAGCCTGCTTTGACATTACCTTATCAATTCGCAACTAGCTAAAGAATTTACCATGCCCCCAAATTCCCCAAATGCAAAGTACAGCCGAACTACTTACTGAGGAAGAGCATCCGAGAGTTTCCTATTTGACAACTTTTATAATAATGAACTGATTTGACACCACTAAATAATGATATCGATTTAAAACTATTTCATTGTTTTCACGACAAATGTACTCATCGCATAGTGGTCAAAGAAGTGCATATTACTGTACAAATCATTGAATTCTTCACAACTGAACCGAATGAATTCTCAGTTGAATTACCGAATTGTTTCATTTTTTCTTCAAACTTGCAATGCTTCCATGTTTACATCGCTAACCCCTTACTTTTTACAAACTCAAATTCTGATCTTCTGTCACTCGTTTGCGGAATTTCAACTTAAACTAATTTAAATAATGCTCTTCTACATAACTTTCTTTCAATCATGATAATGAACATGTGGGCATAACCCATAATCAAACAAATAAAACCATAAATTTATTAATAACGAAATTAAAAATGGCTTCTGTAATTAGGAGAAAATTGATTTAACACGAGCGCATACTTATGGTAAACAATGAGGTCTATATATTAAACCTGGGGCGTGGGATAGACTTACCTCCACTTGGTGCACTCTGGACAACGTAAACTCATACGGCAAAAAGTCTATTAACAGGCAGTTGAGTTCTCACTTCAAACAGCCATCACCCCCGCTCTATGTCATATTCGACTCCTACCGCAGTACTCATCTTACCCTTTCTGAGCCTTGGTGTCTGTCTGTTTCTTTTACATCTGTGAATCACTTTTGTATCCCCCCTACCGAATTCTTCTCACTTTGATGTTTCTCCTTCCCTCTGTGAAGCCCGAAGTCAACTAAAGGGCTAATTATAAGTATCATAAACCCTGCCATTTGATATAAATATATATTAAACCTTAAATAGCTGGGGTTGCGATTAGAATATCTAACCACGTTCTCCCCAGGAACGATTGGAAATTTGGTTAAATAACATCAAGATACTCATTATTCACTGGCAAATAATTACATTAAGAATAATCTCTGTTATAGAACCAATGAAAACGCTATTTTTCATTATTATAAATGCTTGTGTGGCTAAGACATGATTCAAGTCTGATTAAGCAGTGGATTAAATAGCGTCGTTTGTCAATCTATATCAGTTTGTATCTTATTTTGGTGATGTGCGATAGACTTACCTCCACGTGGGGCTAACTGGGCAATGTATGCTCATACGGCAAAAAATAATCTATAAACCGGCTGTTGACTTCTCACTTCAAACTACCAGAACACCCCACTGTATGTCATATTCCACCACCTCCACAGTACTCACCTCACCTTTTATACCTTTATGTCTATCTCTTTTACATCTTTGAAACACTTCTATTCCACCCCCCCCCCCCCCCCACCATCTCTCGACCTTTTTTCACTCTGATGTTCCTTTCCCTCTGTGAAGCCTGAAGTCAACTAAAGGGCTAATGATGACTATCAAAATGCCTGTCATTTGATATAAATAAATAAAAAAAATAATTTTGATGAGCCAAATAATGGTTACTTGGGGATGGGGTTGGGAGGGGGGAAAGGTCGTCGAATCTTTGGAGTCTTTCTTTTCTTTAAATCCTGCTCTTACAATGAATATAATCAACATTTTAAAATTCCAATGTTAGAATTTTTATGGACAGGCAGGCAGATTCTCCGTTGAGATAAATCCCAATCAGTTGATTGGACGATTTAGTTCCATGATTGATTGAGATATTTCAAATTTTTTGTCATTTAAGAGACTAGCGTGGAGAGATATGCCAACCCATCCATGAATAAACACAAAAAGGGCATGAAAATGTAAAGATTCGATTTAAATGATTTTAAAGCAAATTTGTTTCTTTTTTTCTAAGTCACAGATGGTTGATAAACCTGTTTTATTCAACTCCTTTTCGTATGAAAAAATTTATGCGTCGTTTTTTTCAATCAGAAAATTATTTATTATTATGTCATGTTTTTTCTAAAGACATTCACCTCCTTCAGCTCTTGGGGGCTGTTACTCTTTGCATGAAATGCATCTAGGTCTCATCTCAATAAACTCTCAGATCCCAACAATCGGCCAACCAATGGGACAGTAGCTTTCGCTTTGGACTGCCTCAGACCTCAAGCCGCAGAGAGAATGAAAAAAGAAACAGCTTGTATTTCACCATTCGCTAAACTGAATCATCGTTTCGAGCAACACACGAGTAATCCAATTATGCATACACTACCACCCAGGTCATTCAAACAAAATTAAAGCTAATTCATTTGAGGATATAATGAATAGGCTGCTTAAAACGGTGAATAATAGATTATTGACATTGTTGATGATCAATATTGTGGGATAGACTTACCTCCACGTGGTGCACCCTGGGCAACGCATACTCATGCGGCAAAAAAGTCTATTGATCGGCAGTTGACTTCTCACTTCAAGCTATCATGACCCCACCTTATGTCATATTCGACCACTTACACAGTACTCACCTCACCTTTCATCTACCTTTTTGTCTATCTCTTTTACATCTTTAAACACTCTTCTGTTCCTCCCCCTCCCCTCGACTTTCTCACTTTGATGTTTCTCCTCCTCTCTGTGAAGCCTGAAGTCAACAAAAGGGCTAATGATGACTATCATAAAGCCTGCCATTTGATATAAATAAATAAATATTGTGTGCTTTTTATTTGCACCAGGGTTTTCATCCAAAACAACAATTTGACTTGTTTCATTTGCCCTTCAATAGGAAAGTGAGCAATAAAGTAGTACAGAATGGAATAAGTGAGTTAAAAGTCAGGTCACCTTTCATTCACTTTTCTTTGCTGCACAGAATACAAGGAGCTATGGACAAGATAAAAATGACATCTTCGGCTCATTGGTCTTCATTAAAGTAGGAGTGAAGTTGAACTTTAATCGCCAATTCGCGCATTTTTGCGGCAAAATGTAGCCAGGTCTCATTGTAAGTGCTTTGTCAAATTTGTGGCACACGTTTCAGACTTAGGCACCCCCGTTTTTTGGGAATGTTCAGAGAGAGAGCCGACAATAGTAACTATCGCTATGGCAACGCAAGTTGTTTCAATACCTTTTCTTAACGCACCTAACCACGAAGAGTGGTTTTCTACGCAGCATTCTAAGTGGGTAAGAGAAACTCGTTTAAAAATTCTTACTTCAAATTAAATTATTCTCCAAAGTCTTTGAGGCATTTTTATCACTATAATCAGGGGAAGGCTGAAGTGAATATGCAAGACACTCACAACTGTGCTTTAGAAAACCCCTAACCAGGTTGTTATTGAATAGCACAACGTGTCAAAAATGTCTTAAGTGGCTTTTTGATTTACTCCTTTGTCTGCTGAACCACCTCCATACCACCTAGCACAGCTAACATTTTTTTATGAATTTGTCTACGCTTGGTGGGAATAATTCAGTCTCCGGAAATTCAAATGTCGCAAAGTAGACATCGCATTTTCACTTCCTCTCTCCCACACTTGATTGTCTGGCTTATTAGTCTGGCTTGTTGTGGTAAATTCTGCCAATTTATTCTAGACCAAGAGGGATGTGCGATAGACATGCCTCCATGTGGTGTTCCCTGGGTAACGTTTACTCATACAGCATAAAGTCTATAAACCGACAGTTCACTCCTGACTTTAAACTACCATGACTCCACTGCATGGCATATTCCACCACTTTCACAGTACTCACCTCACCTTTTATCTACCTTTGTGTCTGTCTCTTTTTTTCATCTGTGAATCACACTTCTGTTCTTTTAGTGATCTTGGTGTTCCTCCCCTCTGCAAAGCTCGAAGTCAACTAAAGGGCTATTTATGACTACCATAAAGCCTGCCATTTGATATAAATATAAAAAATTAACAAATAAAATTCATTTTAGACTATCGCTTTAATTACTTTTCAAACTTCAATTCTCTTATCCTCGATACTTGGTCATTCAAAACTAACACCACCATGGTTGCCAAAAAAGACAGCTAAGAGCAAAAAAAGGCAAAAAAAAATTCGATAGGCTCTATTGATTGGAAAATAACATAGAGTCATGATACATAAAACATTCTGAATAAGGGGTTCCACCTCTGGTATCATTGGCTGCAGGTATTTTTCCTGTTCATAGAGAAATCATTACAGTACCATAAGGTGTCTCTTTCTTTTGGCTGCTGATATGGCATTTTTGACGAAATTACTGCATAGAAACAGAAAAATAGGCCTATCAGCTCCTTCAAAAAAATTGGTCAATCTTTGAGGCGATTTGGAAAAGGCAATCGTGCTATTCGACAGGGATAAACCTAGTCCCCTTCCCCCCCCCCTCCCAAAAAAAAAACAACTTAAAAATAAATATTAAAGCATTAAATCCAATGGCCAGCTTACTATTGGTGACGCCTTCTCTTAAGAACAAAGGCTATGACAACTAGGGTATGATTCACTCTGAGATTAAATATAGCTGTCTACTACACACAAAGTCCTAGTCTAATTTGCGGGACTACCAAAAGCTGTTCATACTCGCCAATACGGCCTTGTAACCGGGCGGCGCTGGTGAACAAGATGGATACAAGTCCTGTGATTTGACTAACCAATTGGTCTCGTTGATTTAATGCTAACGCGTTTCA